CTTGTTTTTGGAGAAGAAAGATTGATAGCAAGGGGATCAAACATCAAGGAAAGTTTGGAAATCCATTGGAGGGATTCAAACTTGATCTTCAAGGGTTTTATCTTAACTTTTGAATTTCTTTATTAATTTTCAAGTTTGTAATGTATTGTATCATGAATCTCTTTGTTACTATCTTTATAAAATAAGTTAAGTTTATTGTGTTGGAATTTATGGATTGAACTTAACCTAATTGGTTCATTGATTATCGATATATCTACATGTTTAGTGAAAAAATGCAGTTGTTATCAAAATCATAGTGTATTGATCATCATGTTTAAAATGATTTCATTTTTGGTGACGCTTAGATGGAATTGTTAGGTTTTACTTCATTTTTGGTGACGCTTAAATGATTGTAATTAATATTGATGTGATTGTTGTAAAATAGTTACATTAAATAGACCGAAATAATCAATACCCTGGATTTGCATTAATATATCTTTTGCGCATTTAGGTGATATAGAAATATACACCTACTCTAGGTGACCATTTGAGTTATTTTCACAAAAATTCATGCAATTGGTTAAGTTTGTATGGACATAGAAATATGTGGTATGAATTAATTAACTAGGGTTAATATCACTCGAAAGAAGGTATTAATTTAAAATAGGAAAATCGGGTCTAACTATCGCATTTTGGTAATTTGCATCAGCGCATATTTGATTTGATATTAATGAAACAATAGGTTAAGCAACATCGTAAATTCCAACCACGTTTTTCCCTCCGAAATTGCCAAGACGTTTTATTTATTATTTAATAGATTTTTAGTTTATTTATCGCTTTTTAAATCATATTTTTAATTATGTGTGTTTCTTTTGTTGTTAGAATTAAAATCGATTAGAGTGCATAATCTAAAGTATACATTTCTCGTAGGATCGACAATTATTACTTGAACGCGACCCGTGCGCTTGCGGTACGATTTTCAGCTAACACAAGTCAAAATCAAACAATCAATATTAACCACATCTTTTATAAGTCTCACAACTTTTTAACTATACATTTCAAAAACTTCTATCAAAATCTACTAAAAATCTAATTTTAATCCATACCATATTTCAAATAAGTAGACCTACTAAAAAGGGGGGAGGCCGCTGAACAAGTAGCCTTGAATAAATAGACCCCCCTCAAAGGGGAGATCTCCAACAAAGAGGCCGAATAAAGAGATGAAGCCACGTACCTCTTCATCCAACGACTACCGCTTCATCTCTACTACTATACAAGATCACAACTCGTGCCATTTGAAGGTTAATGCAACTCAAAACACTATAAGCTTTGTAAGATTATTCTCTCCTATTTTTACACTCATACACAGATCCAGTGCGCAAACACTTAAGTGGCTCATGTTTAAAGCACATCCCATACTCAAATATAAATACCTCATAGACTAACTTGATTGTCGGAGTGTACATGGCCACCTCTCCCACCATTGGAGAAGGTCGTGTGTGATTAATGGTTTGTCCAAGTACGCAGGAGCAAGCTTACGTTGACTGGAGTGGAACCGGGATCCTGTTGGCGCATTTTTTTAGGTTAACACAATGTATTGCGGGTTGGATTGGTTAATTGGGATCGGTTAATTGACGGGTTGGTTGTTTAAACCGCAACCAATCCCACCCGACTTTTTAATGGTTAAAATCAACCAATCTTGGTTCAAACCGACCCAATTCGATTTGGATTGATCGATTTTTCGATTTTTTTTGCCCACCCCTACTAAAGTGGTTAATTATTTTAAAAATAAGTTAAAATTATGTTTTATTTTGTATAATACAACGTAGACTTGAACACGCTCTTACCTAGTCAAAGGTTCTAACTTCTAACACAGAACTGAAGACCATTTCAAAGACTTCAACAGACAGAGTCAATGTCGTATTAGCATAAATCCGACGAAAGATAATTTTTATTCAATAAATTCTTCCTTCTTATATCTGCGTTCATATTACTATTGTTACGCAGTCTGTCTAATGATTTCCAACTTCGTCCAATCTTCCCTGCACTAACACTGCTGTTTCTCTCTCAAGCTATATAAATAAACACAAAGAAACACAAGAGAGATATAGATTGCATATTTAATGGCTCATTCTAGACCTAAAACTGAATGTGAAAAGGGGTCGCCGGAGTTGGATATTCCAGCAGCCGTAGTTCAGCAGCTCTTAATCCAGCTATTCGGAGATGACGACGAGAGCAAAGATGTAAACGATGGAGGTGTTGTTGATGAGGGTGAATACTGTAAAATCACATCCTCGTCATCCCGGAAAATCTTGCCGGATTTGGAGAGTTGCAAGCCGAAGAAGAAACAACGGTATCGGAGTATTAATAACCTCTACTTGGCTACCAAGCCAATGAAACGTTTTAGGTTGCAAATTTATAAAGAATCATATTAGTAAGAGGAATAGCATTCTATCATTTCTATGAAAGGTGTGAATAATAAAAAAGTTATTTTTTTTCTTTTTTCTTTTTTTATTGTTCGTACATTGTCCAATTTTTCATGAAAGGCGTGATTTTAGATTAACGTTAGGGCATGTTTGATGGGTTTGATTTTCCATGCCATTTTCACACTTTGTTGCTGTTTGATGGCAAAAATTTTCCATGAAAAATGGTTATCTTGGTTTTCGAATGAGAATTTTAGTGTGTTCATTTTGTTTGTTTCATGAGTAGGACGAACAAGTGTATTAATAGGGAATAGGATGAAATGCCAAAAGAATCTGGAACTAGCTTATTCTTCTCGAAATATATTAAATCCTTGTTTGGTATAGTTAAAAAATTAGATTTTTAGTAAATTTTGATAAAAATTGATAAAATATGTTGTTGAAAAGTTGTCGTCCCATAAAAATATGTAATTAAAATTAATTATTGATTTTAACTTAAATTTTATCAAAATTTTAAGCTATTCCAAACAGGAGCTAAAGTGCAGCACTAAATTGTAGTCTAAACTACACCATAGCAACGAAAACTTACCAACAAAATACATTTCTTCAGCAATTAGAGATGGCGTCGGCAATGGTTTTTACAATAATACCACTTTCCCAAATGCGTTTGACATCTTGGATGACGATGAAGGTTTGGCAACAAATGATCGGTACAAAAACCATCTTTTTTTATTTTTTAAACTGGTTAATGACATAATGTCACATCACATTCTGACAAAAAACGTGACAAATTTGTTTGATAATGTAGCAAGGTTTTGGTTTTTATGCATTCAACGACAAAAAGAGATGCATCGCTTAAGTCCAATAGCTGATCGTCGGAATAAATAAAATAGGAAAAAAAAAATTACCCTCGAAACATATAGGCGGACGTTGTGTAGATATTATCTATTTTCTATTATGCAACCAAATGTTTGTTATGGTTATACTCCTTTTATGTGTTGTACAGATTATTCTGTGAATGTTCCCAAGCAATTTGATGAAACTTCTTGAATGAAGAAGGAACTTCCGAATCTCGTCTTCAATTCTGAATTATCCCCTTTTGCAGATGGGATTCTTGCTGCTTGTATTATGGGGAAAAGCTGCATAATTTCTCACTGCAAAAACAAACCACCAATGTAACCAAAATTTTATTTTCATGTAATATTGCATTATGATCCATCCTGAACTAATTGACACGACCTGTCGAGTCACCATAGTGGACTCAAAACATTACGTGCGTCAATGGAAGATAATGCCAGATCCATCAAGGATGATATAATCTGTTAATTACTATATATATCAAGACGTGTGACCTCTGGAATTTGGTATATCTAATATGAGCGACTTGGAATCGGTGCAGCTCAAGCTTGCGCACCCCTAGATGGTGGAAGTTCAATAGTCGAAAACATCATTAGCTTATGCTCTAATCCAAGTAGCACCAGACGTTGAATTCCATGTAAGTACACAAAGACCAATGCCAGGCTAAATACTCGTCTCCCTTCACCAATCCCCATGGAAATGCTTCGTAGCGTTCACAAATTATTACTCAAGTCTAGGATGCTGACATTTGCCAAAACCGTGTGGCAAGGCACAAACAGGGAGAATTTGTAGTACAAACTACAAAGGAAGCTCTAGTGATTAGATGTGAAGGATTTTTTCATACAGAGAATATTCTCATCCCAAATAATCATCAATGGGGCACTCCTCGACATGTCAAAAGCGGAGTAAAATGGTATAAACTGCACCTTTTTCAAGACCTCCGAAAGCAGCACGGCTAAAAAAACCCAGGTTGAACGAACCCATCGGATCTTTTTGATGTGCCAGAAAACAATGATACTCATGGGATAAAATGGGACAAATCTATTTCTCTTGGCTTATATTTGGGACTCGTGATGAGAACAAAATATCCACAAATTTTAGTTGATATTATTATAATGTTAACAAAAAGGGGCTATGCAAGGGGTCGGGTCAGATTTGAGCCAAAACCAAACCCACCCCACTTGGTCGGTTTGGACATTTTCTGAAATGAATCGATCTGGGTAGGTAACAGAAACCGACCCAACAGAACTGATTCAGATTCGGTTGGGTTGCCTGTTAAATAAATTCATGAATCCCAGAAGAGGCCAAGAAGGAAGTACCCATCTGAATAGCAACATATAGATCTCCAACAGGTGGGGTGCCGCCAGCGGCAAGTATGACTCAGATGGGAACCTAAGAGTTCTATATGTCCTTGGTGTTCAACACAAGTAGATCAAGGAGAGAAAGCCCTATCTTACCTCAAAAAATACAACTGAACGAAACAAAGAAATCAGCATAATAGAAAACTTCGATATACTTATCTCCATTACAGAAGTAACGAAAGCATTAGAAAGGTATACTTCCATTTTCGAGAGAATATGAGGAGTCCGATAACATATGCATGACTTAATCAGGCAAAAATAATCCACTTAAAACTGTGTAATCCAAATATTTCATGAAATTACATAATCCAGATGGTCTAGAAAACAGTTACAAAACACCTGAACTATAAATTAAATATTACTTGTACATGGATTTTATCACTGCATTGGAGACTAAACACAAATATCCATAGCATGTAGTAGTACCATCTCATGTTTCATGACTGATCAGCAGTAGATTGTTCAAGCAGTACCTTTAAATTTGGCATCGTATTCATATGGTTGCTGCAAAAATAAAGACAATTTCTCATTCATAAATGAGGGGAAAAAAAATTGATGGTAATAAAACAACTGCAAAATTAGCAAAAAGTGCTGTTAATATCTAAAACAACAAAGAAATGGACATTTAGAAGTGTAGCCGTTTTAAATCGACATATTTGTCTGCTAAACTACTTGAAGACCGGATGACCCGACTTTCAAACAATGAAATGCCTAAATTCACTTAAATACACCCAAAATGCAGATCAATTGCAGAACTCTGCATCAAGTTGAGCTGTTAGAAAAGAACCCATGACGTGATCTTCACAAATGCAACTTGCAGTAAAGAAAAGAGTTCTTTTTTTTTTTTATTGGGTGCCACGTCCAAATTCAAATAGTGGAAAACTAATTTCCACTCCCCATGAAAATCAGTTTTCACTGTGAGCTTTTTATCTCACTAAAGCCATTCTCCAAAAATAAAAAAAGTTGATCACCTAACACGAGCTTCATTTGCTTTTACTACATTTTTCTAGCTGTAGACTCTTCCCTGGGGTGGGGGTCGGGATGGGGGATCTTCTACAAGTACATTACCAAGAATATGGCTGAGATCAATCTACGAGCAAACCATCTTTTATGCATTGCTTGTTGAGCACGTGATGCTGCTTCCACACTTTCAAACCGTAAGTATACATAACCAGCACTATTCCTGTAAGTCAGAAGAATATTATTAGACAACATCCAGCTGTTCACCAAGTGTGATTACAAGAGTAAATTTATCTTCGGCTTTCTTTTTTCACCTGTTGTAGCCAATAAGCACAATTGATCTTATTACAAGCATAAGCATAAACTTTACAAGATACCAATTAGAGGATGGGATTTTTTGTTTCTTTCCTTCCATGGGAGACCTTGTGGTTGTGTATCAAAATTATCGTGCTATCAAGGTATCAATAGATCATTATCGTCATATAAAATGCAAATAAAAATAGACAAAAAACGATATATACAAACTTACTTGTCCACAAATATATGTTTTACCCGTCCATACTTCGAACATTCTTCATGCACATCATCTCTAATGTCCAAATCAAACTCCGGATCCTCCTGCCAAATCATATTCAAGCATAAATGGAAAAACGTAAACAAAACTTTCCTCAAATTGTACGCATCAATGACAGATAAATAAAACAAACCTCAGCAGTTGGATCAAACATATTCTTCAAAAGTAAACACTCGCTGGGGTTCCCAATAGGTTCAGGGGCCATAGAAACCACCGGGGTTGGAAGAACTGGAGTAGGAAGCACCGTCACTGGATTCAGGGGCATGTTTATTGCTACTTGTGATGTAGCGGATCCATTGAGCCCAGGCACTCCTCCAAGGGGCCCCACAACACTGAAGGATAAAAAGGAAAGTCAAGACTGAGTCGACAGTCAAGAAGAAAGGAAGGAATGAATACAAATTAATCCCATGTACAAACCTTGAAGCGATACCACTGCGATCCAGCTTCTGCATAAGCAAAGCTCTTGACTGAGCATTCAAAGCCTGGGGAAATCATACAACAATGAACAAATGAGAACCTCGTGAAGAAACAGAAACAGAAAACACAGCACTGATTATGATTACTCAAACCATTTGTTTTTGGGTTTCTATATCTGCGATTTCAGGATTGTGTATGGAAAGCTGTAACAACAGAAAATCAACCATCATACTTCCCCAAGCTTCAGATTTGACGACATCATCTTAGATGATTTTTGCAGACCATTTATTTCCACATCATTTATGCAAATAAAGAGTTCTCCAAGCAAGTCCAACGTTTGGACACTAATTCTTGTGAGTGAAAAACAATAGTGGAGCCTTGTTTACACCCTTAGCACCGCAGCCACCGCTAGAAAATAAGAACAGCAAGCCTCAAATTTTAAAATGCACTGTTTTCAATGCAATTCATCATATGCATTAACGTTCTCTAAAAATAAAGAGCTTTGAATGATATCAACAGAAAGTCCATACCGAATCGAGAGACAAGCACACAAACATATGCACACGTTTGAACGCTTTGCCAATCGACTTGAGTAACAACCAGTAGCACTTCAACTTATGTGACCTATTCCACCAGATGGGCTAAAAGATACTTCCAACAGCCTTTCGCGCACGGAATATATCTGTCTAGGATGGCACTAGGTTCTCATAATTGTATGGTCTACTTGTTATATTGAAAAAATCGTCTTTGAAGAATGGTCAGTTATATACGAGAGCTTGCTTGATTCTTATTTTTTCAAAAATACATTTTTCTCTATCTTCTTTTCAACCACACATTCTTCAATAAAATAATATTACGTGCAACCCTAAAACTTTTCCTTCATTTTTAACTACACTCTCTCCATCAATCTACTATTCCAAAATGCATTCTACACCAAAAATGGGGCTTAAACAGGCCATGAATTTCCATAATCACATTAATGCCAAGATCAATGTTATCCAAAAACAACCTATCCCAAGGTTACCACATTTTCACATCGACAGACTGCACTCTAGTTCTCATCCTTAGAATCATGGAGTCCATCCATTCCCTTAGTGAATATAGCCTTAGATTGCTGCAGTAACTTACACTCTATGCTGACTTCTGATATATCCAACGTGAAAACATGGATGAAGAAGAAGGCAATGCAGCCACTCATCAAGCAACTTCCGGTACAAAATTAACATTACTTAACTACTTGAGCAAAGCAGAAACAGGACTCAAAGCATAACTATACTGTCATCTTGCAGTATTATAACAGCAGTCATAAGACTCATAACCAATTAGAAATAATAAATGAATTACATCTTCACTACGATATGATCAATTTAATAACACCTATATTCAGTTAAGAAAATTTAACTCACCAAACCACCCCCATCGTCATCATCAAAATCTGCAGTTTTTGCTCCTGCATCTTGAACTCCAACATGATCCGTAACAGAGGAAACCTGAGTTGAATTCAAAACAGAAAGAGGTGAGTCAGGAAACAAACTGTCAACTGAGATTGCCGTAGAGAGCTGACAAGAAAAGATGATGTCCAATATGAAAACATGTTAAGAATGTGTGGATATTCACAGTATCAACATGGAAGTGTTATATGAGCCTAATACCTTGATTGTTCGACCAGCAATTTCTAGTTTCCCATTCAAGCTTTGTGCTGCCTTTGCGTGTTCAAGTTGCGCAAACTGCAATGATGTATCAATAAAATTCATGTTAAAACACAAGGTGAAAACATTATTGCAAAACACTTTTCAACACAATCACCTTACACAAAATACTGACCTGAACAAACCCGAAACCTTTGCAATGTCCTGTCTCTGGATCTGTGGGTAGTTGCACGAGCTCCACAGGCCCAAATGCTTCAAAAATCTAGGGAGGAAAATAAACATCAAGAGATGCATATAACTAAAACAGAACATATGAACACTGAACTGTAATAATGGAAACTTGTATTTGTAGATAATAACCACAAACAAGAAAATGATAGGTTCCCAGATAGGCGATTTTCACAAACAGCAGACTGACGCTGAAATAACTAAATGATCAGTCACATGTAACACCAGTTGCTAAATAAAGGGTGACCAAACAAGGAAAACAGAATAAATATAGACATACAATCAGCCTGTTATTAATTCACAAACTAACAAATAACAAACAGTGCCTGTCAGTATATCCAAAACCGTTCCTAACAACTATCGGTTCTCAGATATGGGTCTCCTGGATCAAGTGTACATTAATTCTTTATCAACCACTGTCAACATGATCAATGAAATACTAATTTTATATTAGAACTAATCATATTAGTTGGGAATGATTCTTATTTAGATACCAAGGATGTAGAAGATATATTATGGTTGACAAATGTGTCCATTTCAAAACCTTCACATTGGTCTTCTTGTTAAATTCGGAGTAATTAACAGCAGAAGTGAGAAAGGCAAGCTAAAGTAAATGACAATACCAAACCATTTACCTGTTTGAGCTGAAATTCTGTCATGTTGAAGTGTAAATTGCCCACATACAACTTCCTATCAGTTGCACCGTATGGTCCCACAACACCTGAACCACCATTAGAAGTATTCGATTGGACAAGATTTTTTTCAGCCTCTGAAGGTTTAACCATTACTGGTTGTCCAAGAAGTAGGTGACCAGACAGGGCTATAGCCATAGGCACAGACATGGCATCATAGAATTCAATATACCTGTTATCAAAATATACATTCGCCACATTAATCGCGTTAAGAAAAAGACAAGGAGACATAATGTGAGCTATAAGGCAACATGATAGCACATTAGTTTGTATAAAAGTGGTCTGGATAAAAAGGCAATAAAATCCTGGTCAAAAAGCACAAACAGGTCAACACAATCACCAATTACCTTTCCTTTATTAATCTCTGTAAGCTTTTTGAATCATGTTGGTCATATTTCTCCACTGCTGCTACATAATTTAATGTGTTGCCTAAACCCCTGTTTGGGCTCCATTTCAATTTAATTCATTTTTCACTTTCTTCATTTTCAACCACATTCTTCAATAAAATAATATTACACGTAAATCCAAAACTTCTCCTTACATTTTAACCGCACATTCTCCAAAATATTACCATTCCAAAATACATTTTCCCCAAAATTTGATTAAAATGGAGCCCAAACAAGGGCTATATTTTAAATTTATTGCTTCGCAGTAAAATAACAAAATTGGTTGCTAACATAACCAATTTGGCAACTCCAAAAACTTGGTGGTGTCACCATCAAGCCAGACACATTCAGAATGCAATCTAGTTTCAAAGCCATTGGCATTAGCAAGTAGTTGTTAAACAGTGAGAGTGTACATTAGAAGAGCTCAATGCTAAAGTGATAACAGACCCTCAAACCACAGCTTTCCTACTTCAAACAGATCAAACCATCATTTAGAAAGGTAGGTATGGAAACATTAATAATGGTAACAGGCCCAAAAATCTTTAAAATACATATCCGACGACCTTAATGTCAAAGAATCAAAAGAATTGATGAGGTTGTATAGTTTCTTCTAATGAAGGCTTCCGTCGACAAAAAAACTTTAATGTCACAGGCCGAGATAAAATAACATCAAGCTCTCCATGTTCAATCTTTAGCCAAGACCTCACATCATATCCACAATTACACTTCTATAAAATTTACAATTTAAAGAAACCCGACAAAGATCCCAAGGAAAGATAATTTCCTCTTGCCATCTGCACGTAACAATCTGCCGAAGGAAGAAAATTAAGCCCCTGTTTGACAACCATTTTTATAGAACTCTTTTTTTCTCAAATTCATTTTCAACCACACATTCTCACAATAAATATGCTGCACATAAACCCAAATTTTTTCTACATTTTAACCCCACATTCTCCAAAAAAAAATCACTATTCCAAAACTCATTTTTCCCAAAAAAACCTCTTTTTAATGGTTGTCAAACTGGGGCTAAAAATATTACTGAGTGAAGTGTTACACAAAGCTGTAGTCTATGCACTAATAAACAGAAATTATAATCACCACAGCGGTACACTAACAGGGGAATACTGCTCATAGTAGAGAATGAGCACCACTAAATGGTGAACCAAGTAGCATCAAACTTAAAAGAAAATTCTTATCTCCCACAAGGATTGATACTTAATGCAGCAATGGGACATCAATACATTGACATTTAAATTGGGGAATAGAAAATCGATACATCTGATATAAGCACAAGATTACATACCCAACCCCTTTTGATCTCCTTGAGTTCCGGTCCATAATCAGCCGCACATCCCTTACCTGCAGATGGAAAATGGGAAAGTCAATAAAAAATATATTAAGTAGCAGAAGCAAAAGAATTTAAAACCCTCCCATGCCTCCAACTACTATTCAACATGTGCAGCCAATGCCACAGGATAGCAATCGAACCCATTCAAACAATAACTATACAGCAGATACAGGTAGTGTGTTGATACGCGAGAAAGCGTATACACTAATTGTAACTGAAGCAGCGGTGCATTTACAACAATAGGAAGGAGATGCATTTTGATAAGAAAACTATAATTAGAAAAGTGAAAACTCACATTTTATCAGTTAATAATAATCAGTAATTTTTGTACAGCAGAATATGCATTCCATGACAATAGGAAGGAGGTGCATACGTGTAGAATGTTAATACACAATTAAGCATTTACAATAATTGCAACTGAAGCAGAGGTGCATTTACAACAATAGGAAGGATATGCTTTTGAATAAGTAAATTTTGTACAGCAGAATATGCATTCTACAGTGATACAATGATTATTTGCCTCCAAATGATTATGCACTTGAAAACAATGAAGAAAAGGTAGCATGTTAAACACTTAGAAAAAAATTTTAAAATCCTCACATACCTTTCCTGCTTGTGAAAAGAACTCGTAAACATCCCTCTCATTGGCCTTAAGTGGCATCTGCATAACAAGGAAAAAAAGGAAATAAATAGTCATTGAGGTGATTTATAAACATTTAGTCATCTTATTCCAGATGTAACACCAATGGAGAAAACACAGACCTGGTATGCAAAAACAGTTCTCTGATCCCTTTCTGGATCAGCTTCGGGCTCTACTGCTTCTTTCTTGTCCTTGAATCTCCTGCATTATCGACTCTAAGAAAAATGAGTATATATCCAAAAGTAGGAACATATCAATATTAAGATACATGAAGCCTTTGTTTGCCTTTTGGAAGTTGTTGTCAGAACATAATCCCAAACCCTTGTTCATATTCACCCCCCAAGGTTATGTATTTCCATCCCCCACATACTCAAAGTTGGCAACAATCCTTTGCATGAATTCCACTTTACATGGCTAAAACCTAGACCAGAAAACTAGTTGTTACACAAAGGAACAAGGAAACCAACCTAGTAGATAATTTTTCCAGTCATAACTAGGTTATATCACAAGGCATAAAGGAAATAATGATCTAATCATTTAGCCAAGTCCAGCTTGAGACACTTGTACACTGGCAAAAAGATTATAAGAACGGTGAAGAAATGTCGATAATCAGATCATTTATACACTGAAAAGAAATGTTGGCAAAATCTCCAGTCTTGCTCAATTTTGCAGCCAGGAAACGATTTTGAGAAAATAATCTTATGTCCATCATATCTAAAGGGAAAAGGGAAAAAAGAAGGGAAGTCTACATGTTTTCTCCTTAAATTCATGAAGCATTATCTACTATCACGTGTTATGAGTTCCAAGACTACACATAGCATGCATAATCTATTCACAATTTGTTATATTTGGACCAGTTCCAAATAGTGAAATTTGGTATTTATAATCCCCGTTCAGAGCAAAGGGAGACCACAAATATGGAGCTAAAGCATTTTCATCTGCGAATTGAAGAAAAGGTTGAAAACTGATACAGCTTCACCACAGGCATTGCGGACCTAAAAATTCAACACACCAGTGGTCAACATCTCAGCTCATAGTTAAGAAAGTAACCTTAAATCTAGCTATGCAAAACATTAGAAGGATGGAAGAGTATGCCAAATCTAAAAGCCCAAATAAAGAAACTTAACAGACCTTATCAAACTCAATATGTGGAAAAGCCATTTTCTTCAATGAAGAAGCCTTCAAGGGGTTTCCGCATTGTTAGCCCATTAAGATGTGCAAATAATCCATCTACGATTTCAATCCAAGTTAGAATATTATATCCTTTATGCATAAACGTACTTTTTTTCTGCAGTCAGACCATTTTATATATTTCCTTCATGTTTCAATCCCACGACAAGGGCTACGGGAGGAAAATAACATTTAACTAAAATGTAAGAAATCATTTTACTTAATTTTACCTTTGAAAACCATTGACAGTCACTGAAGGAAAAAACATATTCAGCGGAACATGTGTAATCTAACAAACTAAATTCAATTACCAGCAGGACTAACTATCAAGAATTGAAACAAATATTCTTAAATCATTTATAATATTGTGAAACCTATGCAAATTTCTTATATGCAACTAATTGGATGATGTCAAGAAATGAAATTAAAGATGCGTAGATTTGAGTTCAAGTCAAGACCTCAACAAAAAAAATGAAGTTTTCACCTCATTAAGGACAAAATTCGAAGAAACAAAAAGGGAAAATGACATAAACAAGTTGAAGGCATTACATCAGGAAGACACTATTTCACCAATTCATTGAACTATGACACAGACAAATACAGCACCGTGCGAAATGCAAATTGGTTCCGCCAGATTAATAACACCTTACCTACAACTAAAAGGAAAAAATCGCAAGTTCCAAGTCAAAAACATCCAAACCAACCAAATTTTTGAAAGCAAATCAAATCTTAACAATAACTAAACAACATAAAACAGCGATAATATTGAGAATGATGGCTAAACTCCAATAAAGAAAAGGTATTTGACATCACCTGCTCTCACGCAATTCAAGCTCTCGCTCCCTTTCCCGCATCAACTCCATCTCTTTCTCACGCTCCAGCCTTGATCGACTCCTACTCCTCCTCGATCTCTCCCTTTCCCTTTCCCTTTCTCTTTCCCTCTCGCGCTCCCTCTCCTTCTCCCTTTCTCGCCTTTCCCGCTCCTTCTCCCTTTCTCTATCTCTCTTTTCCCTATCCTTATCCCTCTCCCTATCTTCTCTCTTCTCCCTATCCCTATCCCGGTCCCTCGAGCTCCGCCTCTCTCGATCTCTTTCCCTCTCCAAATCCCCATCTTGACTCCTGTGCCTGGAACTCCTCTCCCTATCTCTGTCCCGCTCTCGATCACGGTCTCTATCACGTCCGTTCTCTTCACTGTCCCCGTCGCTTCGCCGTTTCTTGCTGCTGCTCTTTCGATCCCGCTCCTCTTCGTCCAAATCATCTTCCTCGCTCCTGTCCCTTCTTCTGTACCCCTTTTCACTCTTTTCTCCGTCCCTTTCCTTCTCCGAAGCGTCCTTGCTGCTAGTTTTCGATGAACCATTGGTTTCTTCTACGGCCTTCTCCAAGTAATCGTACTCGTCGAAATCCATGCTATAGCTGTCTATTGAAAATTTTCCGGTACTGGCGATAAAAATTCTCAGAACCCCAGAATTTGGACTATTGTGAAACCCTAGCGCAAGTGTGGTTTCGAAGATGGGAAACATGGGTATAGGATAATTACATGAGTTAATTGTTCTAATGGTCACTAAACTTGTGTCCATGTTTCGGTTGTTCACAAAAGTTTAGGATATTGGATTTTGACTATTAAACTTATTCAAACGTTGAACGTTACTCATTCACGTAACATCCGTTTCAAACCGTTAACAGAACTAGCAACGTGACTGACGAAATATACATGTGGGCATCTCATCACACCATTAACAAATTGTTACGTTTTTTATTGCTTACTAAATTTTAAAAATCGTCTTCAATTGTCGCTAAACTTTGAAAAATGTCTTTGACTATTTACTAAACTTCAAAAATATATTCATTGTCTGTTTGTCAACCATTAGTGAGAAGAAAATAGTATAATGAATAGTATTTTTTGAAAAATGTGTGGCTGAAATTGAAAGAAACTTTATCGGTTTATGTGTAGAATATTTTATTATTTGAATGTGTGGTAGAAATTGATTACTGTAGAAAACAATTTTTTGAAAAATGGTAGACAAACAGGGGCTCGATTGCTCACTGAAATTTAAGGCGGTCAAATTTTGACCATTAAACTTATAAAATAACGTCAGCCTATTGTCGTTAAAAAAATTGTACTGCAAGAGTACGAATCGTGTAAAAGTAATAAAGTGAACAAACGAGTCTTGATTGACAATCCTAATATATATTACTCAATTCCAAGATAGTTAAATTTAATTTAACATGTTGTAAAATTTTAAATTATTTTCATCATTAGAAATTTAGCGTCTGTTTGGAACCCCTTTTTTGCCAAAATACGAATTTTACTACAGTGCATTCTGACAAGAAGCGAATTATTAACCCATTTCCATTCCAAAGTAGGTGGGACCCCACTTCCACACCAATCCAATTTTGCGTACACGTTCCAGTGCAAAGTTGCCAAAATTGACTTTTCAAATGCACACGCCTTTTCTTTTTTCCAATATTGCCCTCCAACTCACATGCGATAGGTTGAATATTTTAATCAATCACCCAATTTTGCAAACACGTTCCACTGCCCCTTGTTGCCAACATTGACTTTTCAAAATAATGCCTTTTGTTTTTTCCAATATTGCCCTCCAACTCACATGAGATAGGTTGAATATTTTAATCAATCTCATGGCCACCAAATTGAACGTGAAATCCATTTTACACCGATTGGAAATGCATTAACTTCAGCAAATAACGTTCCATCGATATATTGATAACATCCGATATTGAAATACGGGAAAACAAATCGAAAATGTGAACTTTTTCGAAAAACTTATAAACGATCTCGCATACATCGACATACTTAACAACAATAACTAATACGATACCCTCCGAAACAAACATGGGCGCGATCTACAACTACTAACGTAATACCTGCACCATGTAATCGCGTAGCTGCATCCACGGCATGTCCTCCTCAACTATTGCATCTAGCTCTGCGACAATTTCATCTTCTTCATCAGGTAGATCTATCTCGACTTCGTCGTCATCAACAGATCTATCTCGACTTTGTCGTCATCAACTTCTTCGGCTCGTTGAAAACCCTCATCCAGCCGACCGTTTCTCCGAAGGAAGTTATGTATACCCATGCTGGCCACGACAACAGCTGTTTGCGCTCTCATATTATACCCAGGCATTCTATCAATTATCTTCCATCTCTGTTTCCAAACACCGAAGGCACGCTCAGTAACGTTGCGGCATGATGAGTGATGAAAATTGAACCGCTCCCGTGCATTTCGGAACCGACGGTGTTGTCTTTCCCTTAGGTTGCTGAATTCTTGAAAATGATATCGTATATCAGAGCCCTTATATGGAGCCATGTACCCAGGCCTGTGTGCGAAACCAGAGTCAACCAGGTAGTATTTGCCGTTCGCGGGTTAGGGAAAATTTATTTCATCACGATGCACAGCATGGGCCAAAATTCGGCTATCGTGTGTGTTCCCGGTGGTTCCCGGCAACACAAACGTAAAACAGAGATTGAAATCACATGCGGCTAGTACATTCTGGGTCGGAATCCCCT